GGAGGCGTTGCCAGATCTCCTGGGGAGAAGCCACAGTGAGTAGAGGGGAAGCCCCGGGGGGGAAGGGGGTAAACCCACCGGGAGCTGTGTGTGTAACATGCCCACACAGCGTGCACCGTGCGCCATGCCCGCCCCCGTGGCTGGTCCTGACAGGATAACAGCCTGCTACAGCTGCCGGCTAAGGGAGCTGCCCTTTAGCTCACGGCAGAGCTCTGGGCTGTGGTGCTGAAGGTGCAGGGCGGCCGTTCTGCTGGTGGCTATGACCCGAGGGGGCCAGGTGGCAGGGGAGGGGGAAAGGCCCATAGAATTCCCCCCGCCGGCCCCTTTACCTGGCTTTCTGCTCCTGCTTCAGCCGCATGGCCTCCAGCCGCTGGGGACTGGGGATGAAAGCGACGTCCCCCCCCTCCTTCACTAGCCGCCCGATCCACCAGTCATTGCTGTATTTCTGGGGAGACACCAGCAGGGGCTGTTACGGGGGGGCGGGCACAAGACCAAGCCCCCTGCCCTGGGACATAGTAGCTGGCCCTGGGACCAGAAGGATGGGATTTAGGGGGGAGGGAAGCCCCCCGTCCCTGAGGGAGATGGTGGCAAAGCCAGCATCAGAACCCAGGTGTCCTGGCTACCAGCCCCTCCCCCTCTAGCCCAAGTCCAGACTCACCTCCTTGATGTGCAGGAAGTCTTTGGCTTCGAAGTTGATGGCGGAGCCCTGCACCGGGCACTCCTCATCCAGGGCCCCGCAGTAGCTGACATTGGTGCGTACGGCAAACGCTACCGGCTTGTGCTGGGGGAAAGCAGGGGGTCGGGGTCAGTATGGGGCAGCTGGGTGTTCATGCCCCCCCCCCGTGCCATCTGCGGCCAGGAGCCGGCCAGCGTCACACCATGGGCCCAGTGGTACGAGGGATCCCGCTTCCCTCTGACCCCCAGGCCAGGGCAATGGCAGGAGGCCCGGCAAGGTGGGCCCCGGGCAGAAGGAAGGAGGGGATGCCACGCTGGAGGGGCCGGACTCCGGGACCCTCACCTCTATGATACTCCATCATCTGGCTAAGCGTGTGCACACGTGTTTGTGCGTGTTCACCGCTGCCCCCTAGTGGCTGGCAGCAAAGCTGCCCAGCTGCGTGTGTCCAAGGCCCTCTACTGCTGCTGGAGCAGGCTGCGAGGAAGGGTCTAGAGGGCCCCAGGTTCGTGGTCTGGTAGAGCCAGCAGCATCCCTCCCATGCAGAGCCAGGGCTGCCCCCGGCTACCTTGGCCCTCTCCAGCTGCTGTTGTGCCTGGTTCTCCACCTCGTGCTGGGCCGTCTCGCGCTCCTCCTCCAGGGACACGTCTGAGTCCAGCGACGGCCGGCTGGTGTAGGAATCGGCTGAGCCCTGCGGGGCAGGGGACCCTGAGTGCCATCGCCACAGGACGGGGAGCTGTAGCCCGGAAGCCCTGCGCCCAGACGCCCCCACCTCTCAAAGTCCACCCAGATCTGTGCTCCTGCGGACAGCACTGACTCCCCCAGACCCGCCCTGGGATATTCGGGGGGGGGTACAGGGCGGTGGGTGCTACTGCCAGCCCCTGAGGTGATTAAAAATAACACCTTGCAGCTGCCCCCCTGCAACCCCCAAGTGTAGCTGCTAGTGTGAAATGCGGCTTGTAGCCGTGCAAGCCCCCAGGCTATGGTGAGCGGGCACAAGTCACTTTCTGCACCAGCGCTGCACGGCCGCACTGAAGGATGGGGGGAGGGGGTCACATGGGGCTGGTGTGTCTGCACTGGGGGATGGGGAGCGCAGCGTAGGGGGAGCCCAGGGCCAGCCACCCCAGGGCCGTGCATGTCTCTTTAAGAGGCAGCAGGCACAGAGCAGCTGGTGGCGTCAGACCGTCCTGCCCTCCCCCAGCCCTGCTCAGGGAGAGCAGCCTGGTCCAGGTGCAGCCCCCGGGGGCGGGAATGGTCCCTTATCCCCCCTCCCCGCCCTGCTGGGCGTCTCCTCCGCGCCTGGCCCGGGTTCCACCCCAGATGGCAGAGGGAGCAAATGCCAGGCTCCAGCGAGGGTGAAGTCAGCGGCACGGCCATGCCAGCGAGCGGAGGGCGTGCCAGCACCCGCCTGGGGTAAACACTGAGCCGCCGTGGCTGCCAGCTCCACTGGCTCCCCGCCTGCCAGGCCTACAGGGAGTGAATGAACAAACACGACCAGATCCCAGAGGCACCGGCTGGCCTCCCTGACCATTGAGCGGTGACTCCAGGCTCTGTTCTCAGTGGTCCCAGCGACGTGAGACCCCATCACTGTCTGTGTGGAGATGGGATTCGCACTTCCAGTGCTCGGTCCTTTGCACTGCTCAGCGCCCAATTCCAGCTGCCATTTGCTTGCCCTGCCCCTAGTTTGGGGGGGTCCCTTTGTAGCTCTTCACAGCCTGCTTTGGGCTGAACCATCTTGAGTAATTTTGTCACTTCCCTGTTTACCCCTTTCCCCAGCTCACTAATGTATATGGTGAGCAGCCCTAGGCCCTGTACAGATCCCTGCGGTTCCCGCCTGTCTATTCCCACACTTTGTTTCCTGTCCTTCCTCCAGTTACTGACCCACGAGAAGAGCTTCCCTCGCATCCCAGGCTACGTAGTTTCCTTCAGAGCCTTTGGATGAGGGACCTCGTCAAGGTCAGTCTGAAAATCCAGATCCGCTAGTTGACTGGATCTCCCTTATCCACATGCTTGTCGACTCCCTCAAAGAATTGTAATAGACTGGCGAGGCGCGATTTCCCGTGACACCAACCCAGGTTGACTCTTCCCCATCTCTGTGGCTGATAATTCTGTTCTTCACTATTGTTTCTACCACTTTGCTTGGGACTGAAGTTAGACTCACTGGCCTGTAATTGCCAGGATCCCCTTGGGATTTTTAAAAATCGGCGTCACATTTGCTCCCCTCCAGCCCTCGACTGGGGCGGAGGTGGATTTCAGCGATAGGCTCCCGTAGTTAGCAGTTCTGCAATTTCGGGTTTGAGTTCCTCCAGGCAGCCCTGTGAATGCCCTGGTCACAGGGAGAGGGTGTGTGGGTGAGACTCACTCCAGCCCCTGGTGTCTTTCTACCCCACTGGTCAGCCCCATTATTCAGTGCAGGAGCCCTGCCCCACCGCCCCCCCCAGCCTGGGCACTATGAACCCTCTGGCTCCGCATGGCAGGGGGAGGGAAATGACTGGGGGGGGGGAGACCTCACCATCTTTCACAGCCTGCTGGGCCAGACAGCAGGGTCTGAGCAGGACGGGGCATCAGACGAGGGAGACCAGAGGTGGGGCGGCCCCCCGCCCATGCCAGCCAGAAACACCTTCCCTTCCTTTCCCAGCTGAGTGCCCCCCCCCCGGGAAATGCTGACCTTGCAGTGACCTTTAACCCTTTGCCGGCTGGGGGGACAGACCCAGAGGGGCTGCCAGGTCCCCTGTTGCCCACGCTCCTCACGGCCCGTCCCAGGGCTCCCTGTGGCTCCGCAGACCCTGGGAAATGCCAGGCGCCAGCAGCCTCAGAGGGGGCGGTTTTGTTGTTTCATCGGATTCTCCGGCCCCCTGGCGCCAGCCCACGCACCACAGAGCCAAGCAGATGTGCCCGCGGTGGGCACCCGACCCCGCCGGGCAGCGCCTCGCACGACCCAGCTACACGCTGGTGAGTCACTCCAGCCCCCAGACGGCGCGGGACAGAGCCTCTGCCCCATTCACCAGCCATGGCTAACATGGGACGGCCTGCCCTGCCCCCCAGCGCCTCGCCAGCCCTCCACCTCCCAACAGCATCCAGCCCCCCCAGCTTTCCCCACACCCTGTCCCCTGGAGCTCCCCCCACACTCTACTCCTCGTGAGCCCCAGTGCTGAGCTCCCCAGTGAACCCCCTGGCCTAGGCAGCGTTGCTGGTGAAACCCCCCCGTGTGCCCTGTTGACCCTGGTGCTGGGTGCATGAGGCAGGGGAAGGTGCAGTGGCTGTTGGGGTGAGCTGGAAGGGGGGGTATACTCTGCCCCCCACCCCCTCAGCGGGAGCCGCCTGGTTCAATGAACAGCTCCTGCTGCGGCCCCAGAACAAAAGCAGAAGCTGCAGTGAAATATTTATAGGTCCTCAGCTCTGCTTCTGAAAAGCAGCGCCCCCCCCCCCCCCCCCCTGAGCGACTCCCCGCCCCTGCCAGGCTCAGCCAGACTGCCATGGGCACAGCTTGTCCCAGCACCCCCATGCTCCCCTCCCGCCTGTCCCCCTCTTGCCCTGTGTCCCTCTGCCGCCCACATCCCCCCCATGCCCTGGCCTTCTCCTGCCCCAGCTGTGATCCTGTCCCCGACCCCCTTCCTTGGCCCTGTGGTGCAGCCGCGGGGGGGGCAGGGCACGTGGCTCTGTCCCGACGGGGGGCGCAGCCCCATGGCCTGGCTGGGACGGGCCCAGGGTATCCTCTGCAGGCGGGCGCAGCGAGGGGCTCTCCCATACCCTGCAGCTGAGGCCGGCCATGGGCTCTGCGAGCTATGACCTAAGTGGGGTCATGGAGCACCCCTCTATGCACAGGGCCCCCACGCCTGGCACCTGCAGAGCGACTTCCCCCCAGCTCAGGGCGCAGCCCACCCCCAGCCGGGGGGTGCCCCCAGCATCCCTGCCCCCCACATTCCGACAAAGCCAAGAGCATCTCTGACTCCTTACATCCCCCCCCCCAACCTGGCGCTCCCCTGCCAGGCGCAGAGACAAAACCCACTGCCCCATGTCGGGGGGGAGGGGCTGTAACACCCCCGCCCCATGCCAGCACATAGGTGCCCATCCAGGACTCTGAGCCCCACCAGGGTGCCAGCTGTTGCTCAGCATCCAGCCCCACCCCCCCCCGCACCCGCTCTCGCCACCTTACGGGAGCACTGCTGGAAATGCCACCGTGGCTATGGCGCTGTATAAATAACCGGGTGGGGGGGAGGCCTGCCAGAAACCCAGAGCCCCCAACCAAGGGCAGCACCCCCGGCGCTCCCAGCCCTGCGGGGAGGGGGCTCCCTGCCAACCCCCCCCAAAGCCGGCACCCCCACTCACCACCTCGGAGTCCTCAAAGCCATGGATATAGGAGTCGTCATACATGGAGGAGCCCAGGGCGTGCGGGGGTCGGAGAGAGGCAGGAGTGAGCGGAGGAGTGGGAAGGACCCCCCAGGCGAGCGCAAACTGTATCGGTCCCACCCTGCTCGGCGGGGTGGGGGGAGCCAGGAGCTCTCGCTCCCGCGGGGCTGGCAGAACAGGGCTGGCAACGAGACGCCTCAGCTGGGGGGGCTGGGGGCCGGCAGGTCCTGGGACCCGGCTGCACCTGCCTGATGGGGCTGGCAGTGGCGGGGGGGAGCATGGAAGGGAGGCCAGCAGGAGCAGGGAGAGGAGGGGAGGGGGCGTGGCAGGGAGGAGCGAGAGGCAGAGAACAGCTGAAGGGAACAAAGAGCTGGTGCCAGCGAAGGAGGAGAGACAGAGGCAGCGGGAGGGAGAGGCTGCAGGTTCATCGCTGTAGCTACAGGAGGAGGGCAAAGAGAAGGGGCTCCAGGGGCAGGGGTGACCCATATAATGTGTGGGGAGAGTCAGGACATGCACCCCGCTGTGCACAGACGTACAGTCCCCCCCGTGCACTAGTGCCAGGATCCGTGTCCC